AAAAGTTGTGATGTGCTACCCTGACGTCATCTTTGAAAAGCATACTGATGTGTTTGAAGTCATTTCCCAAGGGTTACTGGACTCGTATGACCAGTTTCACACATTCACTGTACATTCTGCTTTCTGTTTCACACAATGGAGAGCTGCAACTTTACAAAACAGGTCAAGTAATTCAGTGAGGTTGAATCAGTGACAAAGCCAACTTTTGGGATGGTGTGGTGATACATAAAGGTGGTTAAATCTTTGCTGTTCTGTATTCTATCTGTCAGGACTGTTAATTGGAATTTGTACCTTGCAGCACTGAAAGACAGTGTGAAATACTTTTTTGATTTAGATTTGACTAACTATTTTGCAAATGTGAAATAAGAGGTGTAGAAAATTTTGACCCTGACAGATAGGAGGAAGTTTGAAAAGGAAATTGGGTTATTAAAAGGTCACCAGTTCTCTTCTGCACTTGGTTCAAATGAAGCTCTGGAGCATGAAAACAGAGCAGTGATAGGCATTAGGGGTATGGTGGGCATAACACCCTGTGTTTTTTCCTGACCAACCCCAGAACTCCATTGAATTTCGAACAAAAGTTGAGCATGGCTGTGATGACTCCCTCAAAAGTAACCAAGCACCACCTAGACTCATTAGGTGCTTTTAAATGCCAAGAGTTAATTTTAAAGCTACAGGATAAGCTTTCTCACACTGGTAATCCATTCATGTTTGACGGACCACAGCTCATTTATATCATGACAAGAGCAGTCTTCAGTAACGAGATAACTAACGATGTCAGTCAAATGGATACTTTGGGTCATGACACACATGAAGCCTTCAAAACCCCCAAAATTAAGACCATAAGAATGGGTCATACTGGGTTAGACCAATGGTCCACCTAGCCCAGTATCCTGTTGTCTGACAATGGCCAATGCCAGGTGCTTCAGAGGGGATGAACAGAACAGGTAATCATCAAGTGATCCATCCTGTTTTGCCCATTCCCAGATTCTGACAAGCAGAGGCTAGGGACACTTCAGATCATGGTTTTGAATCCTTGCGATCCTGGCTAATAGCCATTGATCCACCATAAACTTATCTAGTTCTTTTTTTAACCCTGTATAGTCTTGGCCTTCACAACATCCTCTGGCAAAGAATTCCAGAGCTTGATTGTGCGTTGTATGAATACTTCCTTTTGTTTGTTCTAAACCTGCTGCCTATTAATTTCATTTGGTGACCCCTAATTCTTGTGTTATGAAAAGGAGTAAATAACACTTCCTCATTTACTTTCTCCACACCAGTCATGATCTTGTAGACCTCTATCATATCCCCCCTTAATCGTCTCTTTTCAAAGCTGAAAAGTCCCAAAATCTCTTATTAATCTGTCCTCTCACTGAAGCTGTTCCACACCCCTAATCATTTTTGTTGCTCTTTTCTGTACCTTTTACAATTCCAGTATATATATATTTTTGAGATGGAGCGACCACATCTACACGCAGTATTCAAGATGTGGGCATACAATGGTTTATATAGGGGCAATATGATATTTTCTGTGTCATCTATCCCTTTCCTAATGATTCCCAGTATTCTGTTGGCTTTCTTGACAGCCACTGCACATTGAGTGGATGTTTTCAGAGAACTATCCACAATGACTCCAAGATCTTTCTTGAATGATAACAACTCATTTAAACCCCATCATTTAATTCGGCTGAGACATCACTGATGAGGTCATAAATGCACTGGAGGTGATCATATGCTGCGTTTACCAGTTGAAGACCAACATTATGACATTTGCAGAACTACATTGGTGGATGTTTTCCACTAACCAGACAAATGTAGAAAAATTGCCACTGACAAGGGGTGCATTTATACCTGCTAACAACAAGAGCACAAATTATCAAGCAATGGAATGACTCTGGGATGATTGAGTGCATCCAAAACTACCCTCCCCTATCGGGCATGGATGGGTCTTGGAGGATGGACTGATCACACAGGTTACATGTGAAATACCATGCACTCTCAAATCAATTCTTCAGCTAATCAAACACTTGTGTGCAAAGCCCATATGCTCACCACGCTGCAAATATTTGGCCAGCAGCCTGCCTTGTATGGAGATGCATGAGTGCTGTGCAGATGAGAATCAGTGTGACAACGCGTCTAGCAGTGGTGTCTTAGATGGAGACAACACTGATGATGACTTTGATGAATAAATATTTTCAGTCCCAAATGTCCAGGCTAACTTTCCTAGAATTACTAAAGATCAATGTCTCTTTTATGTAAGCAATGTATCCCTGTGTTTAAAGTATAATTTTAAAAAATGTTGATTTTAAAATAAATATAAATCTACACAATTGCTCTACGTTTGTCATGTTTGGTACCACTGTGTTCATGGGACAAAGGGCTTTCAAATGATACCCAAACTGACCCATTCTGATGACGCTGTATTATCAAAATTTATACCAACTGGGAGGGAGCTGGGAAGGAGCAGTGAGTCCTCTCTGCCACATTGCAGAGAGTGACACCATTGAAATTATGATTCTGTAAATTATTACTAACCAAAGGACACCTCCCTTACCTTTCTATTGGTAACTTTACCATGGAATGAGATTTTACTACATTACGCTCCCAGACCAGTACGACAAATGAGATAAAAGCAGAATGGTTTGCATAGCATTGAGGCTCTCAAGGATGTTAGCTGCTTGATTAGGCCATACTAACTTGGTCATATCAAAGAATGAAAGGGATAAAATGATCTGTTTTTTTATTAAAGAGCCTCTCTTTTTAGCTAGTAAAGTTTTGTTTGCTGTTTAGAATGGACTTATAACTTCAGTCTCTTTTTTGAAGACAAGTCACATTAATAGATTTGTTGGCTAATAAGTCACACAGCTGTTACAATTAATTTTTCTTTCAAAGTTTGAACATCTTAGACTCTTCAGTGAAAGATTATGCACAAGCATTCTGAGTGAAAAAATATGCCTACCAATATCTCAAGTATCTAAAGTACTAGGGTACTTTAATGTTGTAAATACGATCAAGGCTACAGGTTTTAAAACAGTACTTTTGTAACAAGTTGTGGAAAACTGTTGTCTTCAGCCCTGAATTTCCCAAACCGCACAGCATCATCTGTATCCTACTCCTTACAGTACAAAACTCCTGTACCATTACATGTCTTTCCTTGTTAATCAAAAAATAGAATTAGGTCTAATTAACTGATATAACAAAATGAGGTCTGAAGCAGAATTCAAAGGGTAGCAAAGCTGGTAGGGTGCTTAATGAACCAAAACATTTCTGCCCAGTGAATGTGCAGAGGTAGCAGTAAGACAACACCTAGGCTACGTGCGCTGCTCCCACCCCAAGCACCCCTGCAGCCACTAGGAAGCTGTGGGGGCAGTGCCTGGGGGTAGCAGTGTGCAGAGGCCCCCGGGCCCGCCCTCCCTAGGAGCTCCAGGTAAGCACCATACCTCCCTACCCCCAAACTCCCTCCCAGAGCCTGCACCTCCTCCCCCTTCCCACACACCCCCTCTGGCTCCTGCCCCCAAACTCCCTCCCAGAGCCTGCACCCTCTCCCTCCACACCTCCTCCCATCCCCAAACTCTGTCCCAGAACCTGTACTCAAACTGTCCCAGAGCCTGCACCCCTCAACCCCTCCTCCTGCACCCCTGCCCCAGCTTGGAGCCTGCACCCCTCACCCCCTCCTGCACCCCTACCCCCTGCCTGGAGCCAGCACCCAAACTCCATCCCAGAGCCCGTACCTCAGACCCCCACCCAAACTCCCAGAGCCTGCACCCCAATTCCAGCCCAGGGCCTGCACCCCAGACCTCCCACCCCAAAACTCCCTCCCAGAGCCTTAGGCAGGTGTTAACCATTAGCATCATTAAACATACATTTAGGGCAAAACTTCCCAACACCTCATATTTTTGAAATGCCCTTTCCTCATTGCCCACCTTGGTGAGCACACTTAGCATCTCTCCCTTGTTACGTATAACTGCCCAACCAACCATGTCGGCTCCCCACACTAGACACACTCCTGCTGGAGTGGACAGGAGGTACTGGATCCTCTGGGCTTGTGAGGACAAGAGACTGTGCAAGCATAGCTGTGGACCAGTCCCAGAAATGTGGACATTATGGAGAGATTACACAGAGGATGCAGGAAAAGGGGTATGACCGACATGAACAGCAGTGCCATGGGAAAGTGAAGGAACTACACCAGGCATACTTACAAGGGTGGCAATCCATCTGTGCTGAGCTGTAGACCCCACCAGTACCTCACAAACTACCAAGGGTACCGTGGAGGAGCCCAAGACAGAGACCCCGGACATGAGCAAGGAGGAGGGAGATGTGACAGGGGGTAGTCCAGCCATGCCGTGAGCCCATATCTGTTTGAGACTCCATCACAAACTGGCAGGACTGGCTAGATGAGCATCAACAAGCACAATGAAGGGGAGGAGACTTGTGTAAGTGCATGTGCACATTTTTCCTTAGTGTTTACATTTAAAAGGTGGTGCCTAGCCCATCCTCAAGTATCAACTTTTCATTGTTTTACATGTATCAGAAGAGGTAGCAGTACAACAAAGAGGCAGAGTTAGTATCTGCTTTTCATTCCTCTCTTGGTGGGAGGGAGAGGTGCATGTATAACAGTTTATATACATAGGTATGTCCCTTGTATCCTTCTCAGAGAGCTCACTGAAACTTTCATGGAGATACTCCGCAATCCTCTCCTGGAGGTTTCTAGGGCTGGTTGCCATATTTCTTCCTTCACAGTAGGATTGTTTCCCATGCTACTCCATGATGAGTTCAGCTGGCACTATTGTAGTAAACAGGTTAATGGCATAGGGGTTCAGGGAACTTCGGGATGCCAGTGGCAGATGTGCTCTCTGTCACTTTGTTACTCTCAGGAGTGAGATATCAGCTAAAAACATCACTGCCTGTGGAAAATGATGCGAATATTCAGTGCCATTACACTATACTCATACCCTTGGAATAGGGACCAAAACTTTATTTTTCATGCAACCAAAGTTCCTTACCTCCAACTCATTGCACCCCAGTGGGCCATAGGCACCGTGGATGGAGCTGGAGAGCAGTGCTGTGCAGATGCACTCCACAGCTGAAGTGTCAATAAGCATGTCTTATAAGGGAAGGTTGTCTTGAAACTTATTTTTCTTTCCATTGTGACTGTAAATCCAATGATATATTAGTTACCAGCTGCTGTTGCTGCAGCCTTGAATGATGCCACCTCCACAGAATGCCTGATCCTGATGAGGAAAAGAAGTAGGGAGGAAATGTTCAGTGAGATCCTGCAAGTCAGTTGCTGCATCAGACCATGAACAAAGGGCCTGGATAGCCAACATGGCAGATAGCTTGAAGAAGGAAAAAGTAGACAGGAGAAAGGCCCAGGAAATCCAGAAGGAAAAGGTGAAGAAGATGCTGCTTTTCCAATATTAAAGTTCTATTCCATTATTATTAAACATTTATATTGCATTACCTGTTTTTTGCACTATTTTTGGCAATCAAATTTCTATTTTTGGAGAATATCTTTATTAGTTCACGACACACTGCAGAATGCATAGTGGTACTCAAAGCCCACAGTACTTGTAAACGTATAGCAGCATCACATAATTCATAACTTCAGTAAAACAGAAAATCTAATATTTATAAATGTATAGCAAGCACTACACAATTGCTAACAGCACCTAAGGCCCCATGCACAAAGAATGGGCCAGCACAGCAGTACAGGGTGTGCCCATTAAGGTGTTCTTTGAAAGTCTCCCTGAACCACATAGCTGCTGGTTGAACTCTTATAATGGCCTTATGTTTGGCTGTTCAAAGTCAACAAACATGTGCTCCACCTCCAGCCTAGCAGCAGCTTTTCCCCCTTCACTTCACACACATTATGCATGACAGGTAGTTATAACTATCAGGATATTTTTCTTCACAGAGATCCAATCTAATGAGTAAACATCGCCAGCGTCCCTTTAGTCTACCAAAAGCATATTCAACAATTATTCTGCACCTACTGAGCTGGTAGTTAAATCTTCCCTTGGTGCTATTGAGGTGGCCAGTGTATGGCTTAATGAGTGTTCACTCCACAGTTTAAGCTGGGTGATTGGCCCTCAGGTCGGAACATGCTAGCTCAGGTGCAAACATTCCTATAGCAAAGCCCCTACCCATGTTACAGCTTCTTTGCTGTCTCTGCACTTTTCCATGTGTGGCTGAGGGCATATTCCATGGTTCTTTGTGCTGACATATTCTAGGATTCTTTTCCAAAAAATTATAGGGGAAATCATGGCAATGGAAGATGATCATTCAAGTGATTTTGCTGCATCCTTACTGCAAACAGGTAAATTCTAGCCCAAATTAAAGCAGAGCTCAGGCTCTAATCCTTCCTCTCCGAGTTAAGTAAGATATCCTGGGTTTAAATCACCTTCAAATCCAGGTCCTTCTGGGTAATATAGTAGTGGTGGGGACGGGTTGGGCAAGAGCCCACATGAACTGTGCAGTGAATAGAAAAGGAGTACTTGTGGCACCTTAGAGACTAACCAATTTATCTGAGCATAAGCGCAGTGAATGAAGACATACCCAAAGAGAAAATATGGTATAATTCCTTCGTAGACATTTAGTACACACAAAACGTAAGTTGTATTTGAAATACTATTATGAAATTTTAAGCAGCTCTATTAAGTAGTAAAACTATTAGCACCTATGCTAACTCCACCCCTTCGTTGCTGTTAGATAGATTTAAATGCAAGATTTCAACATAACATTTACAATTCTATACTTTACTACCCATATTCCTTTCTGATCCTCTTTCAGAGGTGTCTCTGTAGTGTAGCCATAACATGAAGTCTATGTCATCTGGATTTTTCAGAGCTTTTCAGTCACTCCCAAAGCACGACTTAGGTCGAGGTGTCCACTGTGCTCTCAACTGCCAGATCAGAATCTGTCAGCAGCAATTTCATGGCGCAATGAGTGGTCTGCAAAAGACTTATGGAATGGTTTCCTTGCTACTGATCCAATCATTCTACTACCAGAATTTGACATGCCATGTTACCTTTGGACTCAGTTGAACAGGTTCCAAACTGGCCAAGGAATGTGTGTAGCCAACCTCTTACACATGGGATCTGAGCTGTACTGGGTGGCTCAGCAAGCATTAAGAGGGGCTTGGAAAAGAACTGGGAGGCTGTCACTTTTCCCAATGCTTAAAAGCCTTGTCAGCAAACAAAAGTCTGGGGATCCTCACAGCTAGCAGCAATTCAGTCTTTGGGCTAATAATTGACCGCTCTCTTCAGATGCTGATTAAATAAAGATCTATAGCCTGTATTCAAAGTGGCACAGGTGTTTGTGTGTGGGGGGGTGGAGGGTGAGAAAACCTGGATTTGTGCTGGAAATGGCCCAACTTGATGATCACTTTAGATAAGCTATTACCAGCAGGACAGTGGGGTGGGAGGAGGTATTGTTTTATGATCTCTGTGTGTATATAAAGTCTGCTGCAGTTTCCACGGTATGCATCCGATGAAGTGAGCTGTAGCTCACGAAAGCTCATGCTCAAATAAATTGGTTAGTCTCTAAGGTGCCACAAGTACTCCTTTTCTTTTTGCGAATACAGACTAACACGGCTGTTACTCTGAAAAATGCATACAAGATATCCATTGCCTAGATGTCTATAAGGCTCTCTTTAGGGCACTATCCTTTCCCCATGGACAAGAATTTACAAGCCTTTTCTTCACGGAGGTCAGCCCTGTTTTCACTTTAACTGGGACAAAATTTAAAGGCTGTTAACAAAACACTTCTCACAGCAGATTTACTCATCCCCAGCAAGGCTTGGGACAAAGTAAACCCTGGATGGGGAGGGGGATAGGGAGGCAGGGGGAGCCTGGTGGGGAGGCTAGTGAGCCTGGGGGTTGAAGTCTGAAGCCCCGTGCCCAGGGGCCGGAGCCCAAATCCCCACAGCTGGAGCCTGCTGCCTGCCACCCCGGGACTGAAGTCTGACCCAACTGCCTCTAGGAAGGTGGGGAACTCACTGGCTGCCTGCTCCTCCAGTATTTGTGTTTCCAGAGGAGTGCAAGGCACAACCCCTGCTGGGAGCACTGGGGTAGAGGCTACTGCTTTGTTTCCCTCGCCCCCAATCACTGCTGAGTAGGCTGTGGCCACAAGAGAAGCCCCTGGTGGCCCACTTTAAAGCCATTAGAATAGTTCTGTAGGCTGGGTAACCTCTAGGGGTGACATGCTCCCTCCCAGCTCTCCCTCTATGTCTATAAACCACAGTGGGCCACACAAGGTAGTACAGGTATGGGGATCCAGCTGTCACAGCAGATTCCTTGCTTAGTCTTGTCTCACTCAGCCACTGAATCCATCTTTAACTCCTAGATTTAATTGAAAAACCTCCCTCGAACTCCTTCCCCCAGAGCTCTGATTGTCTCAGCTCTCAAATGTGAATGTGTGGAAACTGAAATAATGCTTTCCCTAAATGAAAACTTATTACACAGCTTCAGAAACTGCCATGCCCTATTTATGGCTATTTTTAGACCTCTATACATGTACAAAGCCAGCTGGTTCAACTAAAATCCACATGTCCTCCCCATGGCTTCTCTCCCTTTTGGAGGTGTGTGCAAAAAAAAAAAAAAAAATTAAAATGCAATGCTACAGTATAAAGCATGTGGGTTATATAACCATATAGATGTTGCTGCCCTGCCAAGAACAGAATTTTGGTCAGTATATTCTGTATTTGATTGAGGACACGGGTGTTAGTACTGTGTTTATAGCATAACTACTCATTTAAATATCATTTCCACTCAAACTGGAACAGGAACTTACTTTCTCTTACCTATAGTAAAACAGGACACATTTCTTAATTGGTCCGGTATTGTATGTATTTGATAAGAAAAAAGAGGTATTAACAAAACCAGAAAACTTTAGTATTTCAAAACATACTCTAGTTCACCATAGTAATGCTCAGCATACGTACAATGCTTTACATTTCAAAAATCTGCAGTAGGTACTGTTTTTTGTTTGAGGGTAAGATAACTTCAGACTTCTAGTCATATAAGTCAGGAAGGATCCCTAGTATGGCCAGAATGTGTAACAGGCATCAAGATGGGGGGGAGGGGATGTGTTGGGGTAGGATAAATACAGGAACTCCAGACTGTGGTTTCTGCTTCTCGCTGCCAGTGATTTGCTGTGTGACTCTGCATAAATCATTTGCTGCTGTTTGTTATGCAGTAACAATGTGCTCAGTGCTGTACAAGGCAGTAACTACACACAGCTCCTGCCCTGAAGAGGCTAGAGTACATTTTCTGCTCTGTAAAATAGGATCAATAACTTACCTAGTCCCTGAGAAGGTAGCTAGGAGGGCTACTATACTGTCTGTTGAGCACACTGCATGCTTCAGGAGGAAAGGGACAAGCAACTCTTTGGGGGCCATTACTACTATAAGTTGGGAGATACAGAACTAATGCTTCCTGCTCATGCTGGCGAAGCTGCTCTGCTCCCCTACCCAACACCCCCCTCGCCTCTGCCAGGCACAGCCCTGCTGCCCACCCCAACTCTGTGCCCCTCCCCCCCATCTCTAGCCCCCTTCCTCTGCCCACCCCCAGCCTGACTCTGTACCCCTCCCCCCAACTCTAGTCCCTTCCTCTACCCTGACTGCACCCCTCCCCCACCCACTCTCACCCCAAGTCTGCACCCCTTTCCCTGCCTACCACAACTGTAGCCCCCTGCCCCCGCTCCAAGTATGCGCCTGCCTCTTCCACCAGGGACACGTCCCACCCCCCAGCAGGAGCGGCTGCAGCATCAGGGCTGCAGTATGGAGCCCCTTTGCCAGGCCAGACCTATCACTCTAGTGAGCAACCACCCTCGACTCACACCGCATGCTGCCGCGTTCCACCTTAAATCCCGGCCAGTGCTTGCACTTCACCACCAGTAACCTTCCGCGGCCACCCGAGAAGGGGCGGAGCCACACGCTCATTTAAATAGAACAGCGGCTGATTTGCATGCCTCCAAGATGGCCGACGTTCGGATTGGCCAGCGATGAAACAGCCCCCACGGCCGCTCCCCGATCCCACAGAGAGGCGTGGCCAGTGATCAGAGGGCGGGATGTGGGCCTCATTTGCATAACGGTCCGGCGCGTGCAGCTGGGGGAAGGCGGCTGTACGGGGTTCTGTTTTTGAATCTGCGGCGGAAGCGGCGAGAGACAGGAGCGCGAGCGCTAAGGCTGCGGCGGGATTCAGGGACACAGGTACAGCACGGGCTGCAACACCGGGCTTGTTTTGTCCCGACAGCGGCCGCACTTTAGCGCGAATCCTGCGCCGCGCCGCGGTACCTGCGTAGCGCGCATGCGTCGGAGCCGCAGCGATGCAACCGGGTGAACTGCATGGGAGCACGTGACTGAGCTCCAGTGCAGCCGCTTCCGCGCATGCGCATTGCTCTTTCCTGTGCTGAGGTTGCTGCAGGTGGAGAGTGGGTAACAGGGGCGCCTCTTTCTTCCCCTGCGGTGCGGGAGCTTATCTGCAGGGGCTGTCGCGGAGCACAGGTAGGTGCCAAATGGGCGCGGCGTAGCTGGGGCTCTGCACTGACTCCCTGAGGCCACCATCCTTCAGAAAACAACAAGCAGATGCCTCTGGCTCCTGCTGGGTGCAAGGGACTAGAAGCTGCAGCCAAAGACTCCTGCCCCTGCCCTTTTGCATGGGACCTGAGAAGGAGTTTTCTTGCACCTTGTGCTAAGCAGGGGACTTGTGGGGAGTAACCTGGGGGAAGGGCACCAATTAGGGAAGGTGGCTGTGGGAGGTCAGTCATGGGTCAAGACGTGCTGGTCTCAAAAAGGTCTCAAAAGCAAGTGTTTCCAGGCTTATTTCTGATCTGGTAATATTATTATGCATGCAGGTGTTGGGTTCATTTATAAATGCCTTAGATGCTGTCCTCGGTGTCTTACTGATCTGTGGAAGTGTCCAGGAGAAAACCATTCCTATTAAACTTCTTAATACCTCAATATGAGTTACCATGAATATGGCTTTTGAAAAGATTTTTGTGGCAGAGGTTAACTTACTAAAAATGAGGGCATTTCCACACTGAAATGGGAAAGATGGGAAAGTTGGCATAGCTATGCATTATTTAAGTTGCATCGTTGGTATTGTACAGTAGTCTAGGTGAACTAAACAAAGACCAGAATCCCTGCCTCAAGTTGCAGTGAGGCCCACATAGAACAAATGTGACGCAAAACAAACTGCTGGGCAGTAAAATTAAGCCATAGCTTTCATACATAAAGCACAGGGTTCCAAGTTTTAGAATTAGTCTTTTAACTCATATATATTCAAAAATATGTTGTAATTTTGTACTTAGTGCATTTAGTTGAGACGTGGCAAGCATGTTATAAGTATTGCAGTTGTCTTCATTCTTTATTTCTCCTAGTTGGTACATTTCTTCCCGATTACATTTTTAGTGCCTGTCAGATATTCTAGTAATGATATTGCCATGGGCTCTGGTATTGCATAATATTTCATCCCATTATACTGCCCATGTGGCTTGTTCGATAACATTCTTCAGGTGTAGAGATGTTGGTTAAAATGGAGGAGGGGAACATAAGCACTGCACACTACAATTGTGGGGGAGAGGCTGTCAAGCTTAAAATTGCTACCTTCAAGCAGCCCCAGAAAAACAATGTCTAGACATCATGTCTAGACATCTTAATTAAGTCTGTCTATAATTGTCAGTACTCGGACAATACATTAAAAGTAAATATATTATTGGTCAATTTCCTCAAGTAAATGTAAGTAAACATAACATTTTTATGAACCGTATACTTTCAACTGAAATTACTGCATGGAAGAATAGTACAGTACAACTTCCCTTTGTTGACAAGATATTTTGAATTATTCCATAAGTTCAAATACATCTGTGGTATCATATAAAATAACCTAACTATTCCAATTAAAGCTTTTACGGAAGTTAATAGTTCATAGATATTTAGATTCTGCTAGGGAAGGTTTGAGAACGTAGTTAATAATACTTGCTTAAATTTCTCTGGTCTCAGTAAGATATAGTGCCAGCTAAATAAATAAATTTAAAATATAGAATTGATCAGAATGTAAGAAATAACCATTACTTTGTCTAATCCAAGAATTTCTATTGTGTGGTCCTTTTGTGTATATAAAAAGAGCATCAGACTGAGGATCAGGAATTCTCTAGTTCTAAATTCAGTTCTGCTACTTGCTGTGTGATCTTGGATATGTAACGTAACTTCTGTCAGTTTTCTCATCTGTAAAATGGGAATGATAATAGTTTACATGGTAAGGATTTGTTTGTTAATATTTGCACAGTGCTTTATACAAGTATTTAATTGCTAAGTTTCACAATTTTAAAAAACATCTTGCTGGTCACGGCAATATTTTTCACATTTGAAAACCTTATGATTCTTATACATGCTGTAAATATCAAATGACTTTTTTATGTACTCATGGATCAGGAAAAATGGTATCCGATGCTACTCATTTGGAATTGCAACTAGTTTGTCATACACACACGCAGGCTAATATTATTACTATATACAGTAACCTCATTTTGTGTGTGTTGGTACAGTCATTACAAATAAGTCAGTTTTGTTTCGTTTTATAAAGTTGGGAGACCTTGAAGCTCAGACCAAATTGCGCTTACCTGTGTTTTGTGCAAAGAAGAATTACCGCTTTAATAGAAACTCATTTGCTTTAACAGTGTAACAAATATGTTGTTTAAAGGGGCTCGGCTAGAGATACTGAAGAAGTCCCTATTATGATATTTTGGACTGTTTCATGTGTTTCTGTGCACACTAATTTGACGTTGGTCTCTTGAATGGTAAAGGAGGATGATTTTCAAACTTTTTTCATTCCACGGACTACAGGTTGACAACCACTGTTTTGTGGGAACGACAACCTTTTGCAGCCCCCTTAGATACAGTCTGTGGACCCCCAGGGATCAGCAGACAACAGGTTGAAAACTACTGCTATGGGGAAAAAAACTCATGAGAAGTTATGCTATTGTGGACCTCTTAATTTCTAATATCTGAGCCATCTAAATGGTTTTCATTGAAATATTAGTCCTATAGACTTGCACACATCCAATCATTTGTGGCTGCCACATTTAATCTTCAGTGTTCGCCAGTTCCTTCTACTATTAAGTTGTGTCCGTTTCACATACTTGGAAGTTAAACATCAACTGCAGTGCATTAATTTCCCTGTTGGAAGGCCCTCTTTGTAATGTTTTGAGCCACCAAAAGCTTGGAAGCACTCACTCACACTGAAATGTCTGTTTCCCATTTGGTATGGGATGATGCTACTAGCCAAGTGTTCAGGCTGGCTGTTTTCATTTTTAGGATTGAAAATTGTTGAAGAAACTATTTTTTTTAATTTTATTTTATTAGTTCACCAAAGCTGCTGTAAATTAAACATGTAAAACAAAAACAAACTTTGAAAATGTTTTATTCACTAGTAATTGTATTTGAGAAAAAAGATTTTAAAAAATTGAATAGTCTTTTCAGTGTGGTATATTTTCTTTAAAAATGTTAAGAAGTATAGACTAATCTAAAATAAAGAAAGAACAGTTGTTATATAACATGCTAAATCTGTTCTCTCTTTTTTTTTTTAAAGTATCCTTAACCATTTCCGGAGGCCAGTTTTTCTATATGAAAAATTAATTAGGTTTACTACTGTGCTTACTAATCAATAGGAATTGCTATGCCAAAAGTCTTAAGGATATTTACATTGTGAAACTTAATAAGGAATATATGTACAAAAAAGCACCATACCAGTAAGTCACTATTATTGATATAGTTTGTAGTTTTAATACGTTTTCTCCATTTGTCACTCCCCTAATAATTCTGTTTAGTCCTCCAGTCTTGTGTTTATAAAATAATTTTGTTGCTGTTAAAGTTACTATGATGTCACAAATTCAACATTACAACTTCCCTAAAGGATCTAGGAAGAGAAAATGAGCTGTGAGATGTATTTAAATTTAAAAATAATTGGTGGAAGTGGCCAGGGGAAAATATTTGTAAAAGGTATTGTTGGATCTAACATTTTGAAAGATTTTGCTGGTAATAAAGCTTTTATGTGCTCATCTTAACAGCTACCACCGCCTGTGTCAGAGGGGGTTGTAGTGCATTGATGAGGAAAGTTTCTACCTTAGCCTTTTTTTATTTGTAGTCTATAGAAGGTGAATGTGTTGTAAATATCCAAGTATATGTAATTATGGCTCTCTGTGTGACAATGGATTTTCCATGCCTTTTTGAACTTGGTATCCTCTTGTGAGGCTGCCTACCAGCTTTTCTCAATTTACACAGCAATTGATAGTACTTTAAGTATTTAGCACAAGTGAAATTATTATTTATGTATATTGCAGTAATACCTAAGAACTCCATAAGAATGGTTTTATTGGGGACAGGTCAATGGTCCATCTTGCCCAGTATGCTGTCTTCTGACAGTGGCCAATGCCAATGAACAGAACAGGCAATCGTCAAGTGATCCAGCCTGTCATCTACCCTCAGCTTCTGGCAAGCAGAGGCTAGGGGAACACTCAGAGCATGGTGTTGCGTCCCTGCCTATCCTAGCTAATAGCTATTGGTGGACCTATCCTCTATGAACTTATCTAGTTCTTTTTTAAACTCTGTTATAGTTTTGGCCTTCACAGCATCCCCTGTTCTACAGGTTGATTGCACGTTGTATGAAGAAATTTTTCCTTTTGTTTGTTTTAAATCTGTTGCCTATTAATTTCATTGGGTGACCCCTATTTCTTGTGTTACGTGAAAAAATAAATAACATTTCCTTACTCACTTTCTCCCCACAAGCGGAGATTTTTATAGAGCTCTATCATATCTCCCTTTAGTCATCTCTTTTCCAAGCTGAAAAGTCAGTCTTTTTAATCTCTCCTCATATGGGAGCTGTTCTGTACCCCAGTCATTTTTGTTGCTCTTCTCTGTACCTTTTTTCCAATATATCCTTTTTGAGATGGAGGGACCAGATCTGCAC